ATTGGTCATCTGGCACATTGTGCCAAAAACCTGGCTCCTGGAGTCAAACGTAGTTTAAAATTTTCTTTCTCGTCTTATGTGTATTATATTTTTTTAACCTGGCTCATTCGGCCAAATAGTTTTTTTTTCACAGCACGGAGTAAACGTTTTTTCTTTTTTTTTATTATTTTACAACAGAGGAGGGGCTCAGGAAGTCACACTGGGGTTGCCAAAATCTTTTTACAAGTAATATATTGAGAAGTAAAAATTCTGGCGTCAACATATTTTTTTTTATTATTGAAAAGCAAAAGGAATGCTTTCAATGAATGATCACTTATTATATGCTAAATAATTTATTTAGAATTTGTTTAATTAAACTTTGTTAATCATAAGTTTTTTTTTATGGAATAAATAAAGATATATATAATTTATATATATAAACAACGTTCTTTTCTTCTAAAACAACGTCTCAGCGAAACTATAAATAAATTGTCTCGACTCTGGACGACGGCTGACGATACCCCAGCAAAAACTAAAAATTTTTGAACGTCACCCAAAGTGTCGTTACAGCTGTAAGAGGTATGTCCGCTAACGGGCAACTATTGATTATATTTTCTGCTTCTATTAGTACGCTACAAAAGTTATCAATACGAGGTGCTTCTTCTTTTAATACTCGATGTAGTATTCGTTTTGTACACTGGACAAGACGTTCCCAACATCCACCGGTTGATGAATTAGCAGGACTGTTAAAGATCCATTCCGCACCGGTTTTAGCACTTTCTTGTTGTATAGCGTCAAAATCTAACAACCTCTCCTGTTTCTTAAGTTTTGACTTCTGATGCGAACAGGCACTCCACGACTGTTTACAAAATTCTTCAGGCAAAATAGAAAAGCATCTGTTGATTAATCAGTAGAAATTTCGAGATGTATAGACGTGTCTTCTCACTGCGTCGTCCAATTGTTACAAAAAATGGACCACAATAATCTGTACCAGTATATGTAAATGGTTGGACATATGACGTAAGTCGATCAGGGGGTAATTGACCCATTAATGGCACTGCTGGCTTAGATTTATTACGTATGCATACCGGGCAATTTCTTTTAATTATATTTAGCAAGGAATGACAGTTTGATATCCTAAACTGTTGACGAATTTCGTTTGTTGTTAACTTACTGTTTTGATGATGATTCTTTCTATGATAGTGGTCCATGCTAGTAAGGCGACATTGTGATTGTGTGGTAAGATTATTGGATGACGTGCGGAATCGGGCAAGCAACAGGCGGCATAAATTCTTCCATTAATACGAAATACTCCTTGCTCATCTAATTTTGGTGTTATTTGAAGCAATTGACTGGACTTCAGCAATTCTTTCTTGTTCTGTAGAGCATTCATGTTTATCTTATAAAGTTTATATTGAACTTGACGGCATATATAATTTTCAGCGGCTGTAAACATTTTTGGTATTAATTCTCCCTTACATCGCTGTTTCAGTTTTAAATTGTTGACGAATCGTAGAATCCAAGCCGTAATCGGTTATGTACATACCGAAAATATTTTATTGGCAAATAATTTTATTATATTCGTTACAATCACTTCGTTATTCATTTATTTTATATTATTTTACGCGCAACGTGAGGGTTTCACATTTGTGTGTCATTTCCGTTCTTTTTGTCTCCTCTTCTTCGTATCAACTGTCATTCACCTTTCATGCTGCCTCGCAGGGCTGCATTCAGCTCAATATTACTAGGAGTTGCTTTTTTACTGTTACATTCCACCCTCCCGTGAATCTTCGCAAGATTCACTAATCTGACATGCGGCTAGCTTGGTGGCTGGACGAGTTAGGATACCATTCTTGGTCTGTACGCAAGCTGATCTAACCTGACTGGTCTTGGAAGGAAACACTTCAACAATTCGACCGTTGAGCCATTGACCTCTTGATAGCAGATTGTCACAAACGATCACACAATCCCCAACTCTAAGCGGCACCACCTCCTTACACCATTTAGGGCGTCGAAAAAGTTGAGGCAAGAACTCTGTAGTCCACTATTTCCAAAAACGGCTGTTTATATCTTGGACGATATGCCACTGTTTACCGAGGCTGATAGGTATAGCATCGTTATAGCGTGTCTGTGTACTATTGGCACAGCCTAACAAGAAATGATTTGGTGTGAGTGGCTTCTGCTCGCTGTGCGTCAAAGGAATGTCTGTAAGCGGTTGGCTGTTAATGATGTTTTCAGCTTCAATTAGTGCGGCCATTAACGTTTCCACCTTCGGTGCTTCTTCTCTGATTGACTCGAATAATAAACGCTTGATCATTCTTATAAGGCGCTCCCAGCAACCACCTGCAATGGGATTCTGCGGACAATTGAATATCCATTCAATTCCAAATGTAATGGCTTCCTCACGTATATCATTAACATCAAGAAACTTCTTATCAGCACATAATTCCCTTTGTGACCCAATAAAATTGGTGCCATTGTCACTACGCATTCTGACTGGTGTACCACGACGGTTAATAAAACTGCGGAAACAGACTAGAAACGCATCTGTTGATAAGCTATCGACGATGTCTATATGCACAGCACTTACTGGTAAGCATGTGAATATGACAGCCCAGCGTTTCTTACGGCGACGACCAATAGTAACATGTAATGGTCCAAACAGGTCAACACCTGTTCATGAGAATGGTCGTACATACGGTGTTATACGGTCGACTGGGAGCTGTCCCATTAACGATGGCTCTGGCTTCGCGGCTTCGAGGCGGCATTCCATACAATTGCGTTGGACTGATTTCAAAAGTGGCTTGGCACCAATTATCCAGAATTTTTGGCGTACGGCGTTGATAATTGTAGCTTGATTTGGATGTTTGTAGGCAACATGATAGTGTTTCATTATTAGTTCGGAGACGACACGGCGTTTCGGCAATATAATAGAGCGTCTAGCTTCAAGAGGCAGATATATGGCTTCGTCAGAACGTACGGTAACAGAACGTTTAAGTCTAAAAAAGGAACTGAAACGGTTAAATTTTATCAATGTTTCACTGGCCTGATATTGTAGTAATATCGGTGTCGTAATCTCTTCTTCTAGCGTGACAGTATAAAACGAAAATGTAGCAATTGGCCAGCTATTTTGTTCTTGACATAAAAATGTTGCCATTGTTTATTTTAGGCACCTCTTTGGCTCTTTTTGCAGCGTCAGAAGGGTTCATCTTAGTTGGCACCCATCTCTATTGGTCTTCTTTCGTTGAGGTCAATATTTCAGCTATACGATGCCCAAAAAATGGTTTGAATCTGCGATTTCTCGAATTTATCCAACAAAGAACGGTTTCGGAATCAGTCCAAAATACTATACGGCTTATGTTTATGTCATGTATGTCTACCACCAGCTTTGATAATCGAGTAGCCAAGACTGCAGCCTGCAGTTCCAACCTTGGCATGGATAGGAGTTTCTTAGGCGCTGTGCGAGTCTTACCACAGACGAAAACTACATCGACTGCATATTGATGTTTAATTCGCAGATACACTGCTGCAGCAAATGCAACTTGACTAGCATCCATAAATATATGGATTTGGACCTCTTTGGCAATGTTGAGATGCGGCGAGTAGCATCTTGGTACAAAGAAATTGCCCATTCTGTCGAATTCGTCCCGCCACCAAACCATTTTTGAGATAACGTAGATGGTAACAAGTCGTCCCAATTTAATTTGGTTTTCCAGGTTTCTTGCAATAATACTTTGGCAACAAGTAAAAAATTCGCTAAGATGCCGTATGAATCAAATATAGCCATCACAATTCCTAAAAGTTCTCGCTTTGTTGGAACCCTTTTACCCTCGATAACTTCTTTAGCTATGCGATGAAATTTTGTTAAGAATAGAAACGAATCATTTGTTACGTTCCAATACATTCCCAAGATTTTCTCAGTTTGGCTCTGCCGATTCAAACAGATGGCCTCTGCACTTTCACTCTAAATTTTACAAATTTGATGAAAAATTACGAAGTTCAAAGCCGGCGTTTGCATTAATTTGTATCACTTGTTGACAAATTAGTAGAGCGTGCTCTTCTGTATCGAAACTGGCAACGTAATCGTTTACGTAAAAGTTCTTATTGATGGCAGATACAGCTTCCGGATATTGGCTTCGATAACTTTCGGCATTATGGTTCTTAAGAAATTCAGCGCAACAGGGCGAACATACTGCTCCGAAGATCATAGACATCATGACATATTGTTCGATCGGTGACACTTCGCAATCGCGTGTTGGCAGTCTTAGATTGGAAAAAACGTAAACGTTTTTAATCTCATATTGTTCGCCAGCTTCACCCTTTATGTTGACATTTACCACTGTTGAGTTTTGAGTCACCTTCTCTTCATCATACCACTGCATCGTTAAGTGTTGTTTCTTGCCTTTAAGGTCTAACTGACTTGCAGTTTTAGCATCTAATATAGTGATTGACGACCCTTCATCCACAAGTACGAAAATCCTCAGTTGTCCCTTTGGACCCATAATTTTTATCGGAACCAATTTAAAGAGAAAACCGGAACATGGCTTGGCACAACTCAAAACCTGTTAAACTGATCCAGACGTAGGCGGTACTTGTTGGGACTCATGTAGCAATCTATTATGATTTTTACGGCAGGATCTTTTCATTCGGCACTGTATGACATTGTGTCCATTCCGCAAACATGAAAAACACAAACGAAGCTGCTTCACCTTCACCCAACGCTGCTGATCATTTTTACTCAAAAACGCTTCACATGTAACTGTGGCTGTTGTCAATATTTAATCATAGCAAGCTCAGTTACAATTTGAATGATATAGACAGCATCAAATTTGTAAAAATACATAGAAAAATATTTTCTAGGGAGAAGTTTCAACTTTCTGTCTGAACAAAAATTAACGGAACATAATAAAATATTTTTCAAATTTAAATATGGTTTATGAATTTTCATTTTGATTAAAAAATACAAAATCATCGCTATATATTGGTGACCCCGACGTGATTTGAAAACGCAACACACGAGCATGCCGGTGACACATTCAGATGATAAATCTGGATTCAGACCATTTCAATTAAACAACTCAACGGGTCACATTTCACAACAGGAACTATTACATCCGACTGAACGACACCATTCAATTAGAGAAGAAGTGTCCCGAATTGCAGTTAAAATACCTCCTTTCTGGCACGCTAGGCCTGAGTTGTGGTTTGCGCAGATAGAGTCGCAGTTTGTTAGTTCAGGTGTTACCACAGAGCAGACCAAATTTCATACAGTAGTCGCGTCAATTGATGGAGTTATCCTCCCGCAAGTCACGCCTACTGAAAATCCGTACTCCACTCTGAAGAAGCGTTTGCTTAAAGAATTTTCAATTTCCGAGCAAAAAATATTGAGAAAACTGCTTCAAGACATGGATTTGGGCGATTTGCGTCCTTCTCAACTCTTGCGTGAGATGAAAAACTTTGCCGGAACATAAATGGATGATGCTTTATTTAGGTCAATGTGGATGACGCACTTGCCAGCGAATATGCGTGCTATCATTTCAGTAAGCAGCGAACCTCTGAATAAAATCGCTATCATGGCAGATAAGATCGCCGAAGCGAATGACGCTTGTTCTATTCAAGAAGTTCGTTTGCCGACAACCTCCACGGTAAGTGATGTTTCTTTTTTTTGTTTTTTTTGTTTATTGTTATATTATATACAATCTGTAAAAGAACCTTCAGTATTACTTATGAATATAAAAATAGAAAAAGTGATTTGTAGACATGTGCGGGACACTCAGTAGTAAACACCGCTAAAGATTAAATTACAACTAATAATAATGATGACTACTACTCACTATTATGAGTAAATAGTTGGCTATAAATATTTAATTTCAGTGAGTTTACAATTACGATTCACGTGTTTAGGGTTCTACTTGGCAAGTCCGACGTAGAAACTCTTCTTAGTGGACGTGAATGATTGATATCTGATAGTAGCTCGTGTGCCAGTGGGTTCGGGTGATTTGATAGTCTTATACGATAGTTTTTGCTGATTGTTTGCATTGCTTCAAACACTGATGGGACGTGGATATCGCGCTGTAAAGTACTATTTGGGATATACCATGGAGCAGCCGCACATAAACGAAGTATTTTTGATTCAAATCTTTACAATATCGCTATATTAGATTTTGCAGCTGTTCCCCAGATCGAGACACCGTAGGTCCATATTGGTTTCAAAATAACTTTATATAAAAGTACTTTATTGTTCAGTGATAGTTTTGAATTTTGGCAAAGAAACCAGTGCATGGAGCGCATTTTTAGACCCAGTTGCTTGCGTTTCGTAAATATATGATGTTTCCAGGTGAGACGCCGATCAAGATGAACACCTAGATACTTCACGTGATCGGATTGTGGTAGTACGTTATTATTTAGTGTGACTGGTGGACAGTAACCATCGCGAAGAGTGAATGTGGTTTATGCAGATTTGGATTTATTAGCTTTAATGCGCCATTTGTTTAGCCACACTTGGATGCTATCTAGGTTTGTTTGCAACTGACTAGTAGCGACTGTTGGGTTTTTGCTTTTAGCCATGATCACTGTGTCATCGGCAAAAATTGCGGTATATGTTGATGTGTCAAGTCGTAAGTCAGCTGTGAATAGTGTGTAGAGGGTTGGACCTAGTACACTCCCTTGTGTAAGAGTAATAAAATTAAAACAATAGATCACTCTTATGAGTTTAAGTTCGTTTTATTGTTTATCGAAAGATAATCACACACGAAAATTATAATGTTTAATATTTAAAACGCTAGCACGCGGTGATCGACCAAAAACCATTCACTGACTAACTGTTTCGTTTTTTGCTTTTTGTTTCTTCTTCCTTCCAGTCAGGGCTGCCATCCTCTTACAGCTCGGCCTTTCCTGCTGCTTCGGATCGTCCTCGATCCGTGATTGTCGAGTTGTTTCCTTCGTCTTCGTCAGCACCTTCGTCTTGACCGTCGCAGAACTGAGGTAAAGCACACCATGATTTCATTTTGTCGCTGGAGTAAACCGACGAATAATGGTGCTGAGTACGTTGGGAACCAAGTATGTCTTGCACGACATAGCGATCGTTACCTAGTACGCGTGTAATTTGAAATGGGCCTTAATATCTGGGTTCAAGTTTACGTGAGGTGCCGGTGCATGGTGCCTCGTATTCAACCACAACCAAGTCGTCAACGTTGCACTTAGTCGGTGTTGAGTGCTTTTTGTCATAACGTTATTTAGCCTTTAGTCGTTCTGTATTCAGCCGCTTTACTGCTTCATTAAGATTGTTCGTTAGATTGTCGTTCAATATATCATCTCGCTGTAGAACAAGCACTATCTTATTCTGTAGTATATCTCGTGGTTTAAAATTGAACAACAGTTCTTGTGGCATTCGAGGAGTCGTTTTATTGCGCATACTGTTTATCGACCATTGAATCGTACGAAGGGACTCGTCGCAGCGCTTGTTGTTATTTATCGTAGGTAATATCATAGAGAGTATAGTTCTATTGCATCGCTCGACTAAGCCATTTGCTCGTTGTGTTCGTACAGAATTAGATATATGTTGAATGTCGTTCTCGTTGCAAAACCGTTTGAATTCTTTCGATGTGAATGCCGCACCGCGATCCGATATAATTCTCTGTGGCATTCCCACATAACTACTTATTTCACTGAGAACGTCGATTACATGTCGTGTCGCTGTACTTTTCACTGCTCGAATAATTGTAAAACGTGTGAACGCGTCGATAACAACCAACATGTGCTCTTTTTGTTTTGAGCTTTTCGGAAAGGGACCTAAGTGATTGACGTGTACGGTTCGGAACGGTATTGGTTCAATTTCGCTAATTAACTCAGTTTTAACAAACTGCTTATGTTCGTTTTTCTTAACAATTTCACCGCATACGTTTTCAAAAGTTGTTTCCCCATTTACCACCGTCATTCACATACTTTTTAACATATCTTGCCCTAGTAAGAGATCCACCTGCAACAGTTCGTTGTCTACTACGTACAGACATACAACTCGCTCAAGGCTGTCTATTTTCATGTTAACGTGTATTTTTGTATGTGCGTAAACAACACCACCGCAAAATCCATTTATCTTAAGGGTACATTCTTCTTTAACGCATTTGAGACAATTCGCTGACATCTGTCTAATCATACAACATTCACTGCCAGTATCGATCAGTGCCGTGAATGTATGATCGTTAATCGAAACAACTTTCTCCAACTGATTGCCTTGAATAACTGTCTTATTCACAGATTTCGTCGTACGTGTTCCTACGCTTTTCTTGCCGCAGTTTTCAGGCTCGTTTCTAGAATGTACTTTTTGGCAGTCAACGCACCTACGTCTACGTTGTGGTTGGCGGCATTTCGAAGGAATGTGTCCCTTTTTTTGGCAATTAAAACACACCAACCGCTTATCGTTGTCGCTTTTCCATCTGCTTTCATTTCAAAATTTGTTCTTTCGGGTTTAAACGTACGCACCGGCAAATTTTCCGAGTAATCAACTACTATTTGGCGAAACTCACGCATCGAACTAAAACGATTTGCTGCAATAGCAACTTGCAGTTCACGCTGTTTAAGGCCATTTCTCGCATATTTGATAATAGCTGATTCACTCAGTCCGAATTTTTTCCCAAGCGCGCCTATGCGAAAACAGTAGTCGAGGAGACTTTCCTTAGGTTTTTGCATCGTTTGTGACATTTTAAAGTGTGTAACAGCCTCATCTGGCACACTACTAAACTCGTCGAACAAGCCTTTAGATAATTCAACCCAACTCGTATATAAATCTACCGAGGAGTCCAACCAGAGTTTTGCCGCGCCTTTTAACTGGCTATACACCGCTAATAGCAAACATTTCTCGTCCCACTGGTATGCTGCGTAGGCCTTATTTACCCGTTCTATAAATTGCTCGACCGAAATCGAGGCTTCCTCTGTCGGGTCAAATTGAGGAATCGTTGCCGAAATCTCTTTCACCGAAAATGGACTACGCGCCATGCATGTGACCGCGCTACTAGTTGGAGAATTCGATCGTTCTTGATTAATGCGCGTATTTGTTGCACCAACGTTAAGACTTGTTTGCAACATATGCATCATTGAGCTGAACATATCTCGTAGTTCAGTAATTTGCTCCTGTACGTTTGCACTGGCCACTTCGATACTATCTGATCCGACGGCTTCACTTAGACGCAGAATTAATTCATTTTTAAGGCCTTCCGTCGATAGTCCTTCTTCGTGCAGTCGTTCTTTTAATTCCGTTAACTTTAAACTGTTTATTTTTACGCGCGACATTATGTTTGTTTCAACCGCTTTTGAATTTCACAACGAAATGAAATTATTTCTCTACTGTCTATGTAACCCGTACAACACACGTTCCTTTTTTTTTTACTAATGTCAATTCACTTATATTCTTTTTCTTAGTTCGTTTCGCTTTCACTATTGCAACGTTTCGTATCGTTTCGCTAACGCTAATGTTCACAGTACACACACGCTTGCACACACGTTTAGGAATTTTATACGTTCATTCCTTTCGTTTATTTTTACGTGTCGTTGCCGATCGTTCGCGGAATTTTTCGTTATGTCAGCGGAGCACACACATTTGCCCAGCGGAGTCTCACTCACGTTTTTGCGTGTACGATCCCACTTCTGATTTGTAAGAGTAATAAAATTAAAACAATAGATCACTCTTATGAGTTTAAGTTCATTTTATTGTTTATCGAAAGATAATCACACACGAAAATTATAATGTTTAATATTTAAAACGCTAGTTTTTGGTGATCGACCAAAAACCATTCACTGACTAACTGTTTCGTTTTTTGCTTTTTGTTTCTTTTTCCTTCCAGTCAGGGCTGCCATCCTCTTACACTTGTGGCACTCCAGCTTTTATCGGGAAGATTTTCCTTATTATAGTCTTCTATTTTAACCATGAAATATCGGTTATTGATATAAGACTTAAGTAACAAATAGAAGCTGTGTGGTAGATGTAATTTCAATTTGTAGAGCAGTCCGGTGTGCCATACCTTGTCAAATACTTGCGTTATATCGATAAATGCTGCAGTGCAGTATTCTTTTCTTTCCAGTCCATCTCTTGCATATTGATAAACACGATTTACCTGTTCAATGGTTGAGTGGCAGTTTCGAAAGCCGAATTGGTGAGCAGGAAATAGTAAGCGACTTTGGGTAATCTGGTTAAGACGCTTTAAGAGTATTTTTTCGAAGACATTGGAGAGCACCGGAAGTAAGCTTATAGGTTGGTAAGATATAACTAACTCTAAAGGTTTACCTGGTTTTGGTATCAGGATAATTTGAGCTACTTTCCATTGACTTGGATAGTATTCTTAACATATAATAGCATTAAAAAGTTGGTTGATGAAAACAAGACCAAGGAAGGAAGCTCCACGGTAAGTGATGTTTCTCTTCCCCAACAGATATCACAGTTATCGAAAGAAGCGGCCGAGTTAAGGGCTGAACTCAG